TACATATTTTTGTTAGGTTATTTTTTTTTGCTATGAAATATGTGAGATTAATATAACATCGCATTTTTCTCAAATATATTGATTAAGTTATTGAAACAACTTTGTTCTTGAAATTATTAAAGTAATAAAATCGGAGCTAGAACTGGAAAAAGAAAATAATATTTAATTCACTGGATTCAGTAGGTGCAATAGATCAATCACGGTATTGGTAGAGTCATCTTAGCACCAACTTATAAAACAGAGAATTATTTTACGAAACATATTGTGAGTACTGGCCGTACAACAAATACCCTTTTCCGTTTAAATAAAAAAATGTTTCTTTTTTATCCGGTCAGCAGTATTTGCAGCCAGTCTGAGTGACACGCCACCAGTACATTATCGGCGAATCGTCAGGTGAATGACCTGTCCGTCTCACCGCATAATGTTATTAAAGAATTGACTTCAGTGCAGGCACCTAAGCTTATTTAAAATAACCGATTGCCGTCTTATTCACAACACTATAGATTTAACTTAAAGGCAACTGCTTATCGCCCACGTTTACTTCGTACCGGGTTTAAAATACTCAACGATTTACAAAGTTACTGCCACACACAAAGATAAGTATCCTCCTTAGTAAACATTTTATTTGAGATTAGTTAGAATAGTCAAGAATGTTAATGTTGTTGTGAATGTTAGACCCGCATAAAATGAAAAAAAAATGTCCCTTTGACGTTTATCATATTCTTAATATATTACACTTAAATGAATTCATTAATCAAAGTTTTCCTTCAATTAATCGAGATTGAATTACAACAGCTTATATATAAAATGCGCAATAACCTTCACACTGCTGCATGATATACTTTTACAATTTATTACAGTCAATTAGGCGGTGTGCAAATGTAACGCGATATTACCGCCAACTCAGCTGCAGCATCCTCCATGCAAAATCATCATTGATCGTGTTCCTTCCTACAATAGCCATTTGTTTTGCTTATTAAAATTTACAAAATATATTATCGTATACCGCATATTGATTGAAAATAACAGACAGAATGTTTCTGTACAAAGCGAACACTAATCTGAAACATGGTAATAAATAATTGAAGTCCAAACGCTACGGTTGTGATCGGTCGATAGCGTTAGTTGACCACGTGACTAATACCAGAGGATGGCAAAGTTCTTGAATATTACTAGTAGGTAAGGTGAAAATTATCTTATGTACAAATTTAATATAAAAAATGTAACTGCAATTTCGATGATATCTTTTGAAGCATGAATGATTCTAGGTGTCGTAAATCTATATAACGAAAGGTAAAATATATAATTCGCCTTTGCACAATATTTTGTTCAAGAACTTTGTTTGAATGTATACTCGACTTAAATAGCCGATGATGCAAACAATAGGCGAGTGGAGACCGTTCGATCATAAAACTCAGACCCTGTCAGGTGTATAAATTAAATACATTACTACAAATACTAATTTACAAGCGCTGCACAATAGACGATATTTCAAAACATTTGTGAATACTAAACGCAATGTTCGTAACCTAGAAACTAAATACCTTGATTGAAGCCCTTTGTTTTTAAACTTTAACCATTTTAATAACACGGATTACACACGTGATCAATTTTAATTATGACCTGTTTTTTTTTAAGTAATGACAATTAAAAAATATAAAGGCGTGTAATTTTTGTAAATTGAAGACAAATAAAGTCTAAATATGACCACTATTAAGCACAAAAATATGCAAAAATGGGTACGTAGAGTTGCGGATAAATGTGCAATAAAAAGAAGAAAGTTTAAACCATAATTTCGGATATTTTCATTTTGTATTTTCAAATGATTAATTATAATTTGAAAAACGCGAAATTAACCAGAACTATAGTATTAGTATAACTATAGATATACCGTATCCTTACAGAAATCTGTTCTGCACATCTGTTCTAACCTCGCCCACATATTAAACATCAACAATTTTATATCTTTTCATACGACCTAATATAAATATTATCCTCACCTGATAAAAACGACTTGGACAAGGTCAATATCGCTGTAAGTTTGTACAAGCTATCGGTACGCTGATAAACCCGTTTGAAATCCTTTTCATCCTAACATAATGTCTACAGATATAAAAAAAAATAGTTTCAGTCTAGTAAGTAAATGTATTATATATTATCCTATGTGCATAAATGTAAAGATATTATGTTTACAAATGAATGCATATAATAAAATACTTGTATACACTTTGATTATTGCTTCTTATCAGTATATAGTATCAGTTTAGGTTATAAAAAAAAGTTAATTAGGTCTTGTGTAGTAAAAAACAGACATAATTCAAGGCAGATTTCTACTGAATCTACTTCTACTCTATGATGGAAAAATCTAGAATCGTTTTTATCTTGTTTCTTTTTTGAGTAATTATATGCAATACCAATATCTTTGTTACAACCTATATCATAAAAGATAAGTTATATGTAATGAATGAGCTCATAAAAAGAATGTGAACTGAATGTGGGTCATGTACATAGACGCCATGATTGTTCAGTTAGAACTGCATTAGTGTATTCATTATCACCACCTGAGCACACAATGAAGGTCGCGACCTCTTTAGTGAATATCCTTAAACTACTCCTCTTAGAAATAAAACTGTAAAAGTTATGAAAAAATAGAGACCAATATTGATATCTCTAATATTCTATGAAACTAATTATTTATCCATTTTACCATTTTATAACGTGCATTTTTTAGAGTTTTTTATAATATAAAGTGTAAATCTAGCAATCGGTCACCTGATAAAGCTTAATACACCTAAAATACGCATCAGCAATTACTTTAAAGTTTCAGTTTTCTTTCGGCAAACCGACTTCTTCTTATTCTTATTTTAATATTAAATTATCTCGAAACACAACATATTAAAAATATTAACTTTCAATTACTGATATTGAACAAGATATAATTCAGCATTCAGTCTTTATGAAATGTAATTGTAGTACAATTAAGGGCATTGTATTCATTCATGTAATTCGCCCAACTGTATCGGTTCCCATGACGTACGGGAAGGATAATATGAGGAATTTCCTTCTACAGATCCGTTGCAACTTTTTTGATAATTCGATCTAATTGATCAGAAAATGTTCTAATATTCTGATATAATTTATACGGGTTGAATAAAATTTGTGCTACATCTTTTGTAAGGGAATTAAGCCTTTAACTCTAAATAAAACTATTCATCATCATCAGCTCACTATACGTCCCCACCGAGGGGCTCGGAGCCTACCCTAAGTTGAGGGTGATTAGGCCATAGTCACCACGCTGGCCCAGTGCGGGTTGGTTGACTTCACACATATCTTTGAATTTCTTCTCAGATATGTGCAGGCAAATCACGATGTTTTCCTTCACCGTAAGAACGTCGGATAAATGTATATATGTAAATCGGAAATCGAAAAACACATTGGTACAGGACCTGCAGATTGCAAGTCAAGTGCTTGACCACTCAGCCACCGACGTTCCACTAACACAAAAAAAATACAGAACGCATTTAAAAACTTTCAATAGTTATTAAATTAAAGTCGAAGTTTTTTGGATTTATCTTAACTATTTATATTGCTATATAGAGTAAACAAAAATATATTTGAATTATGTTTTGCATTTTTATCACATATATCTTTATTTAGGTAGAGTTTCGCGCGAAACAGTTGGAATCGTTCCAAGTGTTGAATTATACAATCAGTCATCAATGAAAACACGTATTACAATGTTGCTATTAATCTAAATACATTTTGATCCTGTAAACGGCTGATCCATTTGTCAGCGCTGAGTGGTCCAGAGAGGAACACCCAGCAGTGAGTGAAACTTTATCCGGTCAGCATTGCAACACTCTTTATAAATTTTTTCTGTTTCTTATTAATGTTATGTTTTATGTGTTATTTCTTTATAATTATTTTTGTGCTGTTTTTTGCTTATTGTGTTTTGATATTGGAAGGATTAAATGTTATTTTATTTTATTTGTCTGATTTTGTAAAACTCTAATAAGTTAAATATTGTAAATCTTAACGAATGACCTACATAATAATAGATCTTTTAAGTTGACTTATTTTCCTATATTTACCAAAGTTTCTTGAATTAACAATGTTCTAAGAAGCTAAGAATATATGCAAAGTTATTAAGCTTTATCATTTTGCTTAGCGTTTCGCGCTATAAAATTAACACAATCTAGAATTTATGTCAAGCGCAAACATAACACGGTTCAAGATCGGGTCAAATGTTGACTTATCCTAAGACCTAGACAATAAAATTATACCCGACCACTCACACTAATGCAATCTCGCATTATAGACTTTTGACCCTAAACAATATTGCAGCTATCGGAATGTTTGTTTAAATTAACTATTATTTTTTATACAATAAAGACGACATAAGGATAAATGTAACGTTCTGTTCGTGATCGTTCAGTTGCCAACTTTGAGAAGTTGACAAAATCTAGCGTTAACCACAATACATTTGAACCTATCTATGATTTTATACCGCCAAAACACCTGGTAGAGATGTCAAAATGTTTTTGTACTTTCAACAGCAACAGTAATATAAACAGCTACGCATAACATCGTAAAGGTATGACTGGTCACTTCTCATGCGTCGTTTGCTCTCGTTCAAATGGAATCAAGTGCACTTTCATTACTTCAGTTGCGCCCACTAACATCCTATACCGACCGAAATATAAAATATTTAAACGATTTTTATACCCGGAAGCAATGATACAAGGAATTTATTTTAATCATACAATGACGTACTGTATTTTAATAATAGAATAATGTTTATGGAAAATAACCGGAAACATAAATCTTTATTAAATAATATAACTTTATGGACTGTTTAGAAATCATATAATAAGCCAAGTATGCTTTTCGTTTCTGCTTGCATTGTTTCTTATCATCTTTTTCGTCTCATACGTCTTATATATTTTGTAAGTACATTATTAATTTATGAAATTGATTACAAATTAAATTTCTATTTTCAGGTCATTAAGATCGTTTATGAAGAAAGGAAAAAAAGAAAAATCAGAAACTAAGCCGAGTCAGCAGAACGGAGAGAGCAGTCCTGTTGTCTACAGGCGGGCTTTGCAATGTAATTATCAACATTTTCATCTGATATTAAAACCACCATTAGTTTATCCTACACCTAAGAATGTAAGGAATTTCTTAATGAATTTACTCAGGTCTAAAGGACAGCTACTTAATCCTTATAATAAATCATGAATTCTTTATGTATTCGTGTTAATTTTCTTTGTATCATTGAAGAAAAAAGTGGCGATGTTATTAACTACACACACAGCTAGAAGCGATGACATTAGGTACTTTTTAATATAATAGAAGAGGACTAACAGATTAAAAATAGGTATTGACTTTTACATAAATTACGTAGAAAAAAATTACCGTTTACCACTGAGTATTATCATTGTTCTACATTCATAATGAATAATGTATTGAAGTAAGTAAACCGATGACGCGAGATGAAACCAAACAAATATAATTATATCTACCTATTTTCCATTAAATAGTTGCGTGATATGTATAAATAAATGTATTTGGAAATATGTTTGAATTCAAATTTTAAATCATACAGTGGTTTTGGTGGTAGTCGACTAAAAATAACGCGCTTATTACAAACATTGACATATTTTCCTTCAAAAATACTAAAACGTATTCTCGTTACTGATTATTTCACAAAATTTAATCTTCGAGAAACGAACTTTCTAGTCTGCAATTTGTGTCGATAAAGTGATTAAATAAATCAATTGGGCGGCTCAGTCTGAAGGAAGGTCATTTGGAGAACGCCTGTTACTGTTTAGTCATAATAGAAATTTCAAACACGAAAATCAATACCGAATACTACATAACTTTGAGTGATAAGAAAGAAGAATTACACATAAATAAAACAATCCGCCGTATCTTGAGAATTTTTGCCATTAGGAAACTCTAAATTAGAATTATTGTATAGAAACTTATTCTCTTTCTAAATTCTGTATCACACACAAGTGTCAAGTGACTTGAGATTTACTAATGTTCTCAATTTTAAAGAAACAAAGTTATTTTGTCAGTCAATTTTATCAAGAATGTAAATCCATGTTTCTTTTTGTTATTGTGTGACCTCGGCAACCATCCTCCGATAATACATCTTGTTAGCCCTAACTTCAGTAAGCAAAAGTATGATTTTGTTATAATCAGACTCATTGGCATCAACGGGCGGTGGTGCGGGCGTTCGCAGCACAGTGGGCTCTCCGGAGCGCACGGACCGGTACGTGTATGGAGGGTCGGTGACGCCACTACCGCGCTCACGTTTCCAGGAGCGCTTGCGCAGCCCCAGCCAGCATGAGGTCAACTCCATCAGGTACACACATTTCTCAATAATGCATATAAGGTCGATTGAGAATTAAAAACTTTTCCGTTTTCAATAAAGAAATATTTTGTACAAACGTTCAATCATGTTGGGCCTTTAAAAAAAATTGCAAGAATAGTTTTCGTTTTAGTATGATGACTTGTAATATCTCTTTTTAATTGTTGTTTTAATTGTTCAGTACAACGCCGCGTATGGCCCGCAGCGATATAACGGGCTCGCGGTTGAGCGTGGAGAGCACCAACCCCTTTGACGAGTGCCCCGTACCGCCGGTGCGCGCCTCACGTCGCAAGAAAAAGCGCGCGCCCCTACCACCGCCAACTGCTGCCATTTCTCCTGACGTTACGGTAGTAATTATTCTTTAGGCCTTTTGTTTTCTATCTACAATCTGATTGATATTGCATTTCAAATTATGAGGTATTTTAACTGTGATTGTTTGATGTTACAGGGGGAACAAACAGAGTTAAGAATAACTGAAATGGACGACCAAAAAGAACAAAACAAAAGTGTTGATGACGAGATAGAAAATGTCAATCTGAATATTGAACTTAAAATAGTCGAAGATGAAGATGTTCAGAACAGAAGTATAGAGACAAGTCCTACCACAGTCGAAGAGATAACAACAACTACAGTTTCAGAAAAACTCAACGAAACAGAAAACACAATCGAAGCTACAAACGAACAACTGAACGGGAAAGATGATGAAATGACCATAATAAAAAATTCCGATTCTGAGGACGATATATTGAACAAAGTTTCATTTCCCAAAATTGATATAAATAAATATAGAAGAAATTCAAGTGTTAACGAAGACGATATCAGATTGCGGCGAGGTAACCTAGAAGACTTCCATTCGCTATCCAATAAACGGAGCAAAAGTTTAACTAATGCTCTCGACGGATCGTACGTGGCTTACGATATAAATTTAAATGAAGACAAAGGTCAAATCGATGAGAACAGCAATGAGGAACCTCAGAAAGTGGTTTGTAAACTTTACGACGATCCAAGAAAGCTTAGCATCGATAAATCTATTTCGAGTACAGAAAATGAGTTTATGGAAATTGATAAAGCCACAAGAGAACTTGAAAGAGAAATCAGTAAACTAAATTCGGCTTTACAAGAAGAAGACATTAATTTGCAAGGAGCGCGTCTGTCGGTCTCTGATATAAGAAGGAAATTTGATAAACCTGATGTTTCATCACCAAATCCAATACCAAAGCCACGAAGAAGTCACTACGGCGATACACAAACCGCTAACGGAAATATTCAAACGTAAGATATAAGCTGTTACTTTAAAATTTTAAACTGCTTTATATAAATGTTTACATTTGTAATTTTATATGATTGGATCTCAGGCATATTTATGACTACCCAGGACAATATTGTACATTTTGTATCTGCTCGTACAGATAATAATTTGGGTCTAAATCCAGTACTTTTCAATAACATATGGCAACACTATATAATTTAGTTACCATTTCATTTTTTGTTGAATACGAAAATATTTGGTAATCGAGAAATAATATAATCCTCTTATCTTATTTTAGTCATAAAGATTTTTTATTTAATGTTTTATTTTTGTACATGAGAATTTATTTATATTGCACATAGAGTATAAAAGTACTTTTTTTTATAAAGAATAATGTGATATTGTCCAAATTATTTATTTAAAAGAAATTTTTTAGTTACATATTAATTAAGTAAACAGTTTGGCATTATTTTTAGTGGTAAATATTTTACATAATGTACAAGATTCCTATTTATTTATAAGAGTTATATTTACATCGGGATTGCTATTTTTTTGTTATATGCCTGTTATTTAATAAATATTTATTCTTCACAAAGTTTTTAATTTAATTTTCCTTATTCCAAATTGTGTTGCTGTAAATAAAACTAAAAATATATTTTAATTTTTTAATAATAAATATGGTACATTTTACCATAAACAAAATAGAAATCCTTATACTAATAAATACAAATATGTATGATTTATTACACATTTAATATTAAAGTTTAAAAAAAAAATAACTTGTAGCTACTCGTTGCATCTTGACTGTTTATAAATTCGCAACTCGTCCCTTCTTGTATTTAATAAATCGTGGTAAATTAGATGTAGCAGTGGATACAAGAACTTTATATTCCTTAGGAAGTTTCCTTTGTTGTCTTGCCTAAAAACATAAATAAAAATTATATAACATACTTTATATTACAAATCTATAGTAAAAATTTTACTAATCTATCATGTCTAGGTAAGAATAGACTTCTTAGGCAATTGACTTTAAAAAAAAAGTATGAGTGTAAACCCACCTTATTCTTTAGTATAGGAGCTAGTATGGACAACTTTTCAACCAATTTAACTTTAGCCGCTAATTCATCAGTCTCATCTTCAGAATAAAGGTCTACTAATGTGTCAATAGCTTCCGCCAACACCCACACTTCATTCTCTTTATGTGCCTGCTCAAGAATGAAGTCCGTAATAGCACATATCACGTTTGAACTTGTTTCATTCAGTTTGTTTACGAGTAGTAATGCTAAGATTCCAATCATACGAATAAGATTTGATCTAATCTCTGGAACCTGACAATCTCTAATTCCTGTTATCATCATCTGAAAGGAAGTAAAGGATAGGTAATAAGTAAAAAGTGGTACTATTAGAGATAAGAGGTGTAAGTGAAAGGCACTGAGAAAAGTCTATAACTGGTGAACATGACAGCCTAACAATAAAAAAAAATTAGTAAATGACATTTTGTGAATTAAATGATATGATGATGAAGGGCCCCCGATGGGTTTGAAAATAGTGGGTGCTGACACAGGACAAATATATGCGACTATTTTAGCTATTTACATATTGGTTTATGGTAATGTTTCACGAAAGTTTAAATAATTTAAATGACATTTTATAGATACAACACAAAATAAACAAAGAAATTAAATAAAATAATTTAAAAAAAAAACAAACATTTTACCTCAATATCTGATAAAGACAAGTCTCTAAACAAATCACATTCTCCAGATTTGCCATTTTCCCTGAACTTTATTTTATCCAAGGCAGCTCTCATTACAGCGGTCGCAGACTCCAGTATATAAAGATTCTCTGAGCTCTCCTTGAACACCAGTTTACCAACATCTATCCATATCTTGTAAATACCATTAACACCACCCAAGTTGTCAATAGGTAGACTGGACAACATGTTGTTAACACACAACAGCGCTCGTGTTTGTAATGTATGTAGTCTGAAAACAATCATTCGTTATAAAAATACTCTTTACTACTAGGACAGATATATATAATGGTCGGTATATATAAATATTTATGACTAGGTCAGGTAAGGATATTCAGGTAAAGGATCAACAAAGTATAATTAAAAATCTACACAGTTCTTCATTTCTTGAGGTGCCTCTCCAACTAATGAAGCTTAGTAATCACTTCTCCATATTTCAACACCCATATTACAACAGTACAATCCTACACATACAAAAGACAGAGTTTCAGCAGTAAAAGATAAAAATATTAAAAGTAGATAAGAGAATTTAATAAAATTTCCAAAGAGACTTACTTTTTATGAAGTAATTTTGAGCCTTCATATTCCTTTAATATTAACATAACATTTTCTGCAGGTAACTGTGTACGTGCCCAAACTTTCTCAAATATATTCAATGAGATTAATGCTTCTAGAATCTCAGGTGGCAGCTTATCTTCTGCAAGAACTACTCCTTCTCCATTGCTGTCCTCATCATCTCCAACTTCATCACTATCTGATGATTCGGGTCCTTCCATTTGATCACTTGCATCTATTGAAGAAAAAGCAATTAGAAATAAGTATGGTTACTATCTTACTAATATTATAAATGTGAAAGTTTAGATGGATGTTTGAAGGTATCTCCAGAATGTTTAATTGGATCTGGATATAAAACATAGTCTGAAAGAACACATATGCCACTAATTAAGTTTTTTTTCTTAATTTCATGCAAACAGAAATGCAGGCCGCTGCTACTTCTATTATAAAAGAACAAGTTTTAGATTAGTGTACTAGTGTTAAAATAGTCATTCAACTAAAGGACTTTACTTACCATCACAGGAACATATATTTGCTATAATCTCAATTGACCTTTGTTGTGCATCCAAAATTTGCGACGCTGACTTCAATTGATTGTCCAACATCTGGGCATCTTTTCCTTTAGGTGGCTCAAACTTGCCACTACCATCATTTAAAGGCACAATACTAGAGAGTTGATTACAAACTAACCTATGATCAATTGATAATGTCATGGCTAATATTGAAACTATTAGATTTATAACATTCACTGGTAAAACGGCCATATTACCACCGCAAGTGTTAATTATTACTCCAGCTGATAAAGTCCTTATCAACAATATTGATGGATCAGTATCTTCTATACTCATAAGCTCTTGCAATTGTTTTTCACATGTTAACTTTATTTTTTCCATAACATCGGGATTATCTTCAACAACAACAAACAAACATTGCAGCACAGAAGAAACAATGTCACAACCGAATGTAGCTATGTCCAGATACCTCGGAAGCAAGATACTTAAAACTCTTGATTGTCCTAAATATTTTACAGCCAATTCTGGAATTTTAAAACAGAAAAAATTGTCATTATAAAATTTGTGACTAAGTGTTTTACAGAAAGAAATAATATATTTACAAAAATTACCTGAACTCTCACACAGGTTTAATAGAAGATTTATGCATTGAATGAAAGTATCAACATCCTCCATTTTTGTCTTAGAATTATTATCCGGGGTCCAATTTTCAGCATGCTGTAAATAATAACAACATAAATTAAAATTATTTAAATTATTAAAAAACCAAAAAGGTAAAACTGGATATGTTACCATATTAAGAATCAAATTACCTTATCAAACCAACATATTAAAGGCGTCATGATGTCTTGTTCCATCAAAGAATCACATACTTCTAGCTGTACTGCAGAAAGATTTCGCAATGAACCTGCTGCAGCATTTCTGACTGATCCAGCAGGATCCAATAACAAAGGCGCTACAGCTTTAACTACTCCTCGTTCTATCGCCTGCTCTATATTTTCGGGACTTTCAATAATAAACGCAAAGGTTTGCAAACCGCAGTATTTCTCTTCCACATTTGCCGCCTGTAAAAAAATGTAATTTATATCTCTTAGTAAATTCTAATAGCACATGAACGAAAAAAGAAATCATGTGCATGTGTCGAATAATAACTTATTATTCAGAAAATAGTAAGAACTTACTTGTAGTTGGTCCAATATTGTTTGTATCACATTTTCCTTTGAATCCACCGGCAGTTCTTCATCGGAAACATCTGCGACTATATTATTTTGAGCTTTATTTGGCTTACGTTTCCTAACTTTTCCCATTGTGTTACCGGAAAATTATATTTTTTTAAATAATAAAAAAAGAGAAATAACCTTAAACCAACGTGACTTTATATCATTGACGTTTGCTTTCAATGTGACGATTTTGACAATTGATGGCGTACATTTTTTCTTGATAGTTAAACAAAATGATTTGTGAGTATTCAGCCACAGGATTACATGAAATACTTAACTACTTTACTAAAGTTAAATTATTTTACATTAAATATGGACCGACCCGACAATATAAACCATTACGTAATACTAATTCTTGCAATAATATGCATTACGTAGGCATAGGTTTTGAAACACATTGTGCATGTATTATATCACTTCTAATTAAAAGATTTCCTTTTATTAGATCAAATGATTTTTAATGAATATTCCTTTACGAACAATTAAAGTTCTTTAGTGAAAAACTTTGTTTGTTACAGATTTACGCAAAAATGATGGCAGATGGCGTTGTTATAATTTAATTTAGATAAGTTTTAAAAATGCTCACGAGGTCTTTACTGAGTTGAACCAAAATTAGAACCTTTAAGGTACTATTTTTTTTTCTTTTGACCGGGTATATTTTAAAAATGGCGGATCACCCTAAACTGAGTTCAGAAATCTTCTAGTTTTTCTATTCAAGCACTGGCAGCTAGCACTACCTCCTTCTTACTTTGAATAAATGCAAAATTATTAGATAATACATCTCCCGAACATACTGTGCAAAGAGATTATTGAAACGGTCCTTTTAAACATTTATTGCAATTGTTTAAAGTTTACTACATTTTTTATTAATTACCGAGGGTAAAAAACACGCTATGTTTTTTTATAAAAGACGTATTTTTTATTCCTATCTTTTATGTGTAGCATAAAGTTGCATTCTATAGATCGTCTTAATTTTTATCTTTAAAAATAAAAAGATAAATCTATCCAAAATATTAACGAGCAAGTCGGCCACGGCAAATAAGGCTTGGGTGCTATATGTTGAGGCGGCGTCTTTGAGCACACTCAGCCGGTCGCCTCATTTACATAATCGTATGTTTCAAAATCTTGCCGCGGAACGACGGACTTGTCGACTCCCCATGCCCTGTAGTGTTGTGTAAGGTAAAACACATAGTTAGCCATTATCGATGTCTAAAATAAATAAATTTAAAATTATTTGTGTTATAACCAAAAAACAAAATATATAATGTTTTTTTTTATACTTTTTGCGAGGTTTATACTTAAATCGGTGACAATAACATACACGAAATTAATTTAGGTATGCTAAAGTAACTTACATAAATAATGAGTTTAGTCACAATTTAATGACAATTGCTACCCGGTGTTGCTTAAATCGCGATACATTAGACATTGTTCTCAGTTACCCAATAAAAAAATTATCGACACAAAATAACAAAACTGGGTAGAACATCACTAGGGTGCACAAGTCGCCTGTGCGGCGCCCGGT